TAATCGCCTCAATAAGTTAGATAGTTCATCGCTTACGTCACATCTGCCTGAGCTACTTACTACGTTTGACGATATCTTTGATGGATACAAGGAGAGCTTACAGGAATTCCAGACACTATTTAAATGATGGGAATCGATGCATATGTTGATTAAGTCAACTAATTTATTCCTTTTCGTTGAACAAATTGTTTGTTAGTATTAAATGCATACTGTATTTTCTTTTTCTTTGAAATAAAGTACATATTTTTTATATCAGTCTGAGCTAAAGCATGTATGAGTATATTTACAAACTTTTATTGTATTTCAAACATTTGTCAAAGAGATGCGATAAATAAAATAAAAACAACAGATCCATTTTCCTCATTAACTTCACGTATCAAAAAATATTTCAATAAAATTTGTTAAAAAATCAAATCAATTCAAAAAAAAAAAAAAAAATGATATTATACGAATGTCTTTTCCCATGTCAAGGACATTCGTTCACAGCTTAATAATCTTCATATTATTAAATATTAACAATTTATCGATACAGTGACTATTGCTATGGAGGTTAATTATAAATAAATAAACTTTTGGTCCAAAAGGTTGGATCTAAAAAATATTGGGAATTTCGCAGTAATAATTGACGACAGATTTTTTAAGTTAAAATGTTTTATTTAATATTGTAAAAATCAAATCATTTTCAAAGAATGTAAATAAAATAATTAAAATTATATTACTTAAAAAAAGATAACTTATGCAGAATTTAATCTTAATTCTCTAATTTTATTATGTTTTTCTAATTTATTTAAGAAAAGTTTATTTTAATAAAAAATAAAAAAAAATTGTTCACTAACCATTGACTCGAGCTTTGGTTTTCATTTCCTTAATTTTACGTTTTCTTGAAGAATTTTCAGTCGAAATAAATGCATTTAATGGTCTACTAGTATATTGCATTTAGACGCAGAGTATTCTTTGGAGTGTCAATATCAAATTCATATTCTTTCGAGATATATTCTAAAATAAATATACAAAATGAGAATGAGATACTGATAGAAAAACGGCAAGTTAATAACAATTTTCACAGTTTTTCAATAAAACATTCATACCTTGTTTCAAACTTACAGTTGAATTCATAGATAAAGATCTAGAAATTAAAGTACTCAATGCTCTGCTTTCATAAATTGCTTTTGGATGTCTTTTGACAAGTCTAGGATCAAGTTTCTTTAATTTTATTAATTCACATCGTTTTTTTTCAGCTTGATTAAATTGCTCATCATTTTTTCGTCCGTAATACCAACTAGCAATAATTTCACGAACTTCTTTTATAGAAGGTCTTTTTAAAGGATCAGAATCCCAACATCTTTTCATTAGATTCGCAAAACATTCGGGAGTATCATTTGTAATCCCAGGTCGCTTTCCATCAATAATTTCAATAATAAGATCAGTGTTGTGTTCAAAATTAGCAAAAGGTTTACAACCAGTAGTAAGTTCCCACATAATCATAGCCATGGCGTAAACATCAGATGCTTTTGAAAAAGAAGCGCCTTTAAACACTTCTGATGCAACATAAGGCAATACTCCATATATTTCATTATTTGATGAAGTATTATTCGCAGATTGAGATAATCCTAAATCTCCAATTTGCCATTGAAATCTTGGATTATTTGTTTTATCAAACAATAGATTTCCACTGTGAATATCTCGATGTATATGATTATTATTATGAATAGTTTCAAGTCTGTTGTAAAAAAAAAGTTCGTAAATTTATATTATAAAAATCAAGAATTATGATAAAAATGATCATGAATATGTAAATTTAAAATACCCTTCTAAAATTTGCAATAAAATTTCCAACTTTTTCTTCCACGTTATTTTTTTAAAATTATTTTGTAAATAATTAATTAAACTTCCACCCGATGCATATTTCATTACCATCATAAAATCATCAGTCTCGGGATCTTTGGTAACACCATAGCATCTGATAACATGATCATGATAACAGCGATGATGCGACTTTAACTAAAGTAAATTTCAACCGTATTTTTAGGATAGGTATATAGATTAGAGTCAAAATATTGAATAATTACCTCGTTTAAAAAGTATTTACTAATATTCTTTGAATTTAAAATTCTTTTTATAACAATTGTTTCATTTTTTCTATTTATTTGTTCGTTAAGTGATTGACGACTATAATCAGGCATTTCTAACCAAGTTGCTTTATAAACAATACTAAATCCTCCTTTTGCAATCCTTTCTAAATCTGTAAATTTAGGATATGGGATCCATTCCATTATTGATCGTGAATGAATAAAGTTTTCCGTTAAAAACGCGTATACATTTAATGGATAATTATCTTTTGCAATACTATTCATATTATTAACAATATAATTATTTCCTTTAATATCAAATCTTGTATTATTAAGGAATTCGTCTATATTATTATTTCCACTGCTTAAATAATTTGAATCAAATTCAATAAATGATATTCTTTTGCATTTCCTACATTGAGATTGATCTGTAATACCAAAAATCAAATTTGTTGTTAAACAATATCTACAACCATGATAAGTTATATGGCAATATGAACACCAACTTTGACAATCCGCTCTATATTTTAGGTTTGCATTACAAATCGTGCAATTCCCATAATTATTATCCCACCAAGGTAAATGAATAATTGGAATAGGTTTCTTAATCAAAGTTGACTCTGTCCATCCAGAAGAAATTTTATAACATCCTGAGCACATTTTAAAATCAATTATGAAATTCGAAAAGTTTGAAAATTCTTGATAAACTAATCTTCCACATAAGCTACAATCTTTTTCACTTTCAAATTTTTTACATTCTTCTTCATCAAAATAATAACCATATTTATTGTATATTTGCTTAAAATATAAAATTTCAGAGCAACTTTCACACCATTCTAGTATATTCCGTGTGCTAAAGTATTCATTTCGTTCGTTTTCATGTTTATGACATTGAACATCATTTGTAATTATATATACATCCAAATATGAATTGTTGTCAGTTACATTGTTAATATACTTTGTTAAACAATTTTTACAATATTTTTGGTAAAATAAAAGTGCCGTAGAGTATTTAATTCCACAATAATAACATTTATCCTCTTTAGTACCTTTAATACTAAAGGGAATGAACGTAATTGGTATAGGACTGGATTTTAATTTGGGAGTTAGATCAAAAGAATTTTCATTATTTGTAATTTCAAGTTTCATTTTGATATATATTTTATATATTTCTAAAAAAAATTTATATTTATACTTGCGGTATAATTGTAAATTTACCACGTGTAACGTTGATCATATTTATTAGACGAATTAGCAGATTACTTTAAGAAGGGATGGGTGATACAACGGACAATTTCTTTTGGCGTACGTTAATTACGTGTGGCTTTTAGTTAGAGAATACACAAGAAACGAGTCATACATCACTATCCCAATACTTTTTTTCCTCGCATCTCGTTTAATTAAATGTATTCTTTTCTAATGAAAAAAAAATTTTTTGTTTTTGGTTTTCGTTTAGTGCTAGTGAAAAAATTTTTTTATTTAGCTATTTCTCTCTTCAGTGTATATGTTTCAGATGTGATTTTTGTAATTTGTTATGCAAAAAAAAAAAAATTTTTATGTTGGAGGAGTTGTGATTTTTCTTGTAAACTTACAAACTAGTTTTTAACGACGCTTGAGTGATTGCTTTTTTCTCGCGAACAATTCATATATTCTATTTATATAATATATACAAAAATTTTAATTCGTAGTTACGAGACGGATCTGCTTTAGAACCGACTTACAATCTCTTTGTATGTTTACATGTAAAGTACAGTATCATTCACCTCCTTTAGATCTTAATGGGTATACCCAATTTTCATATTCGTCATTAAAGAGTTCTTCACAACATGTGAGAGACAATTTAACCTGCTTATTACATAACATTTTTTTGTCGATTACAATATCTTGAACTTTTTCTTAACATACAAAATTCTTGTATAACGAAGAATTCCAACTAATCTTGATAACATATTTTTTATCCGATTTTACTTCTTTCATTTCCAAATGCATTTCTATAAGAAAATATAAATAATCACATTAATTGCAAAGTAGAAACGGTTGATTTGAACATACATCCAAAGTGCTTTTACAAATTCATAATCATGGTTAGGTTGGGTTTAACTAGAATGATGGTACCAAAATTAATATGAAAAGATATTTATTATAAGATGTATAAATTAGTATACCATCTGAATCTTGTTGACAAGATCTCGGTTTATCTTGTGTAGACAACATATTAATGGGAGCCTTGTCTGTTTCAAAACTCTACATAATATATATAAATTAGAGTTTCTGCATTAGATCAGAAAGTAACTTTTTTATTACGAATTGTAGGTTACACATAATCACATTTTTAAAAACCAAAACTATGTATATGAGAAAAAGTAGATAAATACATTGTTATAGCGGAAGTTATACAATAATATCACCCATATATAGAAACGCTTTATAATGTTTTCCTCTAAAAGTTTCTTAAACGGACGTAATACTCAAGGCGTTTTAAAAGACTTATTTAGCTCGAGTTGAATGAAGAACCAGAAGAACCAAAAGGAGCTGACAGATAGACTTGTAGATCATTTGGTTGGAATCAAAAAGGAATTTCTTGAACGACTTGATGATGGTTATTTATAATGAAATAAATACATCAAATAAATACACATATTTTAGAATTCGTGGCGTAGAAAGCATCGCATGTATAAATTTGGCGTTATTTTTAGAACTTAAAATTGATCAAATTGATACGTATTTAAGTTATTTTTATAAAATTAATTTTTTTTTAAACAAATCAGCTTAAATCCATTTTTTTTTAAATTGATTATAAATATTTGATTGTATTCCTTAAAATTATTTTAAACATTAATTCTTCGAGATAAAAATAAATTTGTCATTTTTTAAATTCCTCTATTGTGTTGATTCGCTTCGCCCCAACTTTTTTATATTTAGAATAAAAAAAATTATTTTAATCTGTTTCGCAAGTTTTGTCTTAAATTGATCGAGCGTGAAGCATTAAATTAAAAAAAAACTTTAACAGATACGATATTTTTAAGAAATAATAAAGAATTATTATTTCCTTTATAACATTGATTGATTTTAATAATGAATTTTAAGAAGTTTCCATAATTCATTATAAAGAAAAAAAACTATTTAAACACAATGAATTCGCTTCATCTCCAACTTTACTCTTAGTTCATCTCAGAGAAACATAAAAACAAATCAACTTTTTTATAAAAATACATCTTCGAAATTCAAACAAAAATGAAAACATATACCTCGATTCTCTTTTACTTCTTTGTTGTCTTTATGGCAATGTTTGTTCACGCTCAGGTTCAGGATCAGGATCAGGCTCAGAATTTTGGTTGCAAAATTAAAGTTTACCGACCTAAGCAAGGAGCCGTTTATTCATTTTTTAGCAGACAATACATTGAATATGCTGTTAGTGGTGGTTGCATGACAGGTTCATATAAATAATTTTGAGATTTTATTTTATCTTTGTAATTTCACTTGCTAATAATCTTTTTTTTTTTCTTTGTATGAATTAATAAAAGATGGAGATGACAGAGTTAATGTCGGTGTCATTAGCCGTTCCACAGGCAACAAAGTTTATGATGTTGTTAAAAATGGAAATGTAAGTGAGAAGAACCTTGCTCGTTCGCTAGATTTTTGAAATTCTAATTAAATTTGATCATTTATTTCTTCTTTTTAATAATTGCAGCTGATTAATACACCTAGAAAACTTCGATTCAGAATCGATCCAATTTGGGCAACAGACGGCAGCAAATATTATATTAGGGTCACTGTTAATAGACGTAATAGTGCGATATCTGGAGATTTTACCACCGTCGAAGAGCCTTAATATATATAGAGTACTTTGTTAGAAGATTTACGTTTTAAATTTTTTTTTTTTTTGTGTGTTATCTTATTGTAATAATGTATTAATATATAAAATATTATATATATGTTCTTGACTAATAAATAATATCGTTTATAACGCGATATGTTAAAATAATTGTCGAGTTTTATGCAAATATATTTTGTACGTCAAAAGAAATATCCTCATGAGTTAACAGAGTAAATTTTTTAAGGCTTTTGTTTAATTATGTTTTAAAATTTACAGATTTCGCGTATAATAATGTTACGATCCATATGGAAAAGCCAAAAAGTCATGATATAAAACTATTTTGGTAAGGTGAAAGGTTTTAACAATTACGATCGGTATATTCCAGGAGCAACCTTTCCAAAGAACTGCGACATCATCTTATCCACGTGACGCTGTTTTATATTACCACATAATATATGATAATTCTTTTTGAAAAAAAAAAGATTCGAAAATCTATTGTTGATATACAATAAGACTTTTTGTGAGTAAGCATTCAAGCTCATATCGATACTTGATCAGAATAACGAAGATGATGTGAAACGCCTCATTTAACCTTATTTTTACCACTATATTTAATGTCAGGTTTAGAATTTAATCAAACAATACCCCTTCTGCTATTTTTGTTAAATGTAATCGCTTGCTACTAAACATCGGATGTTATTTCTCATCATTATCACAATAAATATCAATAAATCTTTTTATGAAATGGGATCTATTTCTCATCATTAAATATCCTCGACTTCCAAGCTCTACATATGTGAAAAATTGAACATCATCATCAGATTCAATAGGATTACCAACGGGTTTACCCTTCATCAAAATATTCAACTTCATCATCATCTTCTTCTTCTTCCGATTCAACAGACATTTCAGGATTATCGCGTTCGATTTATCTAGTTTATTTGGTGTACATAGCTCACGTTGCGAATAATCATTATTGGTGGATGTTGAATGATTATCCTCTCTATCTAAAAGATTTTCTTGTGTTCACTCATCTCTATATTTTGTGCGAATTATTATATTAAGAAGCCTCTTCAATGTTCGGTCTTTTGCCAGCTTCATTATCCAAACATCGTTGATACAGTTTAACATATGTCGCCGGCGTTCTTTCGACTGGACTTTTTCTTTTATTTTCAAGTATTAGGAAGGAAATTCCGAAAATTATTATAGAAGCCTCCCAAAATAGATTATCAAGTCCATATATGTCTGATGATAAAACATTTTGGTTCAATGAACGCTGGTAGCCCAAAATCTGTAGCTCCTGACGATGTAGATGTTGGCTCATTTAATTCTTTTGATAGTCCAAGATTAGAGATCATCATTTTTCCTTGACCCACGAGGATATTAATTAATTCGAATTAAAAAAAAAAAAATGTTATAAAGTTTTACCAGATCTCTGTGAATGATTTGTTCCGCGTGTAAACACATTAAACCTCTAGTTATCTCAGTCGCCATTCTAAGCTTATCACCAAGTTGGAAATTTATTTGCGAGATAACTTCGCATCTTTTTCCCATCACCAATTGTAATACCATCACGTTTTGTCCATATATACTATATGACATTTGATCTTTATTTTAGATATCAAAGTCAAATTTAATTACGTCTTTAAAATATAAATTTACCTTTTGTTATCCCTAAAGATTGGTTGATAGTACTCTTTCAAAGTAATTTTAATGCCAAAACATAAAATAATATGTAATACATTTCTATCAAAACAAAATAAGTACCTTTTTACGAATTCATTAATGATGTCTTTATCTCAACTTATAACCTTTTTAATGCGTTTTTAATCCACGATTCTTCCATTCGGCTGATATTACTATCACACTAAAACCTCCCTCTCCTATATTTTTTCATTTCGCTAAATTCACTATAATCAAAATATTTAAAGCTATGTTTGTATATAAACCATTCTAAATTTTTGGTTGATAACGTGTTTTTAAAAATTCAAAAGAAAGAGAAATTTTTACGCATTTTTGTTGATCAACGGTTAAATGTAATATCGCGAGTTCTCTTATAAGGATAGATTTCCTAAATATGGCATCAAAAAGTATTCATTCCAAGAAAGGAATTTTTCGAGAAGAAATTCGGTAATCTATAAATCGTATACATTATTATATAAATTCCCAAAAAGAATTTTGTTTTTCTATTCCAATCAATATTATTCCATAGCGTGACCAGTTTCTTTATAACGATGATGAAGTGAATATATTGGATATCGTTTGATAATTTCAATGTTTACTTAGAAGTATATTTATTTTTATTTCAAAAAAGAAACTTAACAAAACTATTTTGTCTTATCTCAATAAGTTTTAGAATTACATAATGAGCTAAACTTTTTTTTCAAAAAAAAAAATGTATTAAGATCATTCAAATATTAATTGGATAATTAGATTTATTGCAAAAAATATTGAAAAAAAATACAAACAATAAATAATGTAAAATTTATTAATAAAAGATAGAATGGGTTGCAGACCCTTGGAGAGATTCCGATCCTAGACAAAAATTTTGAAAGTTTTGTAAAGATCGGAATCTCTCTAAGGGCCTGCAGCCCATTCAATTAAACGGTTGTTACCAACACACGAAAAACGTGTCAGCATTATCCCAAAGATATTGGTCCTTTCGAACGGACATCACGACCAGCAGTTTTCACCCAATTCGAAGTTGATCCATCACAAGTTTGGGTGACCTATGTAATATTCTCGTCTTTTCCAGATGTTCAATGGTAAAGCACCACCAAAAAGAGATTCGAGGTTTATCACATTTCGGACCATATTTCGGTTCTTTTGAAATGAGGTGCACTCGTTGATGAACAGGAGGTTTTTCTTTCATTTTTATATAAACGCCAACAATCGAAAGTGTAGGAATGTATGCCTAATGAAATTGGATGTTTAATAAGTTAAGATTTTTACTATCGAGACTTCAAATAAAAATTATTTGCTTACAAATGATTTCTTTATGGTTCTTTTGCATGAGAACAATTGTAAAAATAAAGTAATGTTTATTTATTTATTTTATTATTTATTTTTTTATTTTTTTTTTTTTTTTTATAATTTCAACACTTACCAAGAATCCACCTTTAAATATTAAATCAAATCTTTCATTCTTCTCCATATATGATTAAAGCGTTAAAAAGGAAATGTTCGAATGAAATGTTTTATGTTACACGACATGTAAGAAAGTCCTTGAAAGACAATCTTTCGAAAGTGAACTTTATCGCTTTTCCAAATAAGAGCTCATTGATCGACTTGATATTTGCTTACGATACAATGATAATAGGGTCGGTGCTTACGGGAATCGATTGTTCAATCTCAAAAAAAGAGTACAGATGTTCAATCCTCGTGAAACAAAAAAAATTTATCACTTATAATCGGAAATTCTATTTTTTACTAATTTTGGATAAAATTTCTTGTTCTGTTTCGAAGAAAATCTGTATTCGTAATCGCGAAATCCGTGAACGGTTGTTCCATGCGCGCAATTGCACGAGTAAGATTATAAATGATTAATATCCTAAAGTTTTCTAAAGTGTTTTTTTTTTGATTTGAAATAATTTCGAATGAAAATTATTTAGATGAATATCGTGCGACAATGATACCACGGATCTCAGCGAACATTGGAATTTATTCTATTTTATATTTAAAAGGAGCACAACTTAATAGCAAAAATTTATGCAAGGACGAAATTCTTTTAATTTGAATGATCTTTTAAAAAAAAAATGTATTAATAATGAATTTCCCTCAAAGAAATATGACATTCAAGCAACCTTTGTATGTCCGACAAATTTTTTTCACGTGACGCGTGACTTTACAATGCTTGGTCATGTGATAATTTTGTTCAAAATTAGGAACTTTTAGTATCATGATGTAAGTTTTGTATTAATATTGTAATATTCTTTATGATGAAATATCCTCGTATAAAAATAATTTTAATTAAAGTGAAAATAGAAGTCAAACAACGGATTATTGTTTATTTAATATAGTATAAATTATATAAATTTCAAGTTAACAAAAATAAAAAAGCAATTAAAATATAATCAATCTATATAATGGTTCATTTTTAAAAAAAATCCAATTATTGAAATTCCGAGTTTAAATCATTATTAGTTTTAACGTGTTTTCCTATTAACATAAAATTGAATATATCATATTAGGTTCTGTGATATAATATAATAATAGTAAAATAATGTTACTTACTATCGACTTGAGATTTAGTTCCTATTTCTTTAAAGTTTCGTTTTCTTGAAGAATTTTCCGTTGAAATAAGTGCATCAAATGGTCTGCTAGGGTAGTTTGCATTTGGATTTAGATGTTGAGTAATCGAGGAATTCAGAGATGTAGAATCATTCAACCTGAAAGTTATTAAAGAATAATTATTTAGTAGATAGTTAATGTCAATTTAAAATAAAATAAATTCACAATATTAAAATACCTTTGAGAATATATATCAAGCTCATATTCTTTTGAAACATATTCTAAAGTAAGATTAGAAATAACAAACATAATAAAATTTCGATATATGGTTTGATTCAGATCTCAAATTTATTTTCTAAAATAGCTATTGTGAGAGAAATCACGATATCATTTTAAGATTAATCATTGTACATACCTTGTTGAATATTTAGTGAATTTAAAAATGAATTTATAGAAATTAAAGAAAAGGATCTACTTGTAAACACTGCATTTGGATGTGTTACAGCAAATTTAGTATCAAATTTCCTTAATTTCATTAGTTCTTTACGTTTTACTTCAGCTTGTTCATATTTTTTTTGTTATTACGCCAGCTACCAACGGCTTTACGAACTTTTTTTATAGAAGGTCTTTTTAAAGGATCAGGATCCCAACATCGTTTCATTAAATCAGCAAAGCAATTAGGTGTATCCTCTGTAATCTCAGGACGTACTCCATCAATTATTTTATAAATCAGGTTATGATCGTGTTCAACATTATTAAAAGGTTTAACGCCCGTTGTAAGTTCCCACATAATCATAGCCATGCCATAAACATCAGATGCTTTTGAAAAAGAAGCGCCTTTAAACACTTCAGGTGCAACATAAGGCAATACTCCATATATTTCATTATTATTTGAAGTATGATTCGAAGGTTGTGATAATCCTAGATCTCCAATTTGCCATCGATATAATGATGCATGATCTTTAAAAAATAATATGTTTCCACTATGAATATCTCGATGCACGAGTTCCTTATTATGAATAGTTTCGAGTCTAAATTTCAAAAAATAATTAGTATTATAATTAACAATTATAATTTGAATAAAAAATATATATACCCATCTAGGATTTGCCATAAAATTTCTAATTTTTTTTTATACCACTTGATGCCTATAAAATTTTTTTGTAAATATTTATGCAAATCTCCTTCTGATGCATAATCCATTATTAACATATAATCATTAGTTTCAGAATCTTTTGTGATTCCATAACATCTCATAACACGATTAATATTATGATCAGTACAACAACGATGATGCGAATTTAACTAAAAGTAACATTATTTAGATCATTTCAAATATAAATTACATTTCAGATATTATAATATTGAATAATACCTCGTTTAAGATAGATTTACAAATATCTTTTGAATTTAAAAGCTTTTTCATCGCAACGGTATGTAATTTGTTATGGCTTTCTTGATTTTGAGCGACATATTTAGGTATACCATCTGAAAAATGTGCTTTATAAATAATACCAAATCCCCCTTTTGCTATTTCTTCTAAATTTTTAAATTGCGAAAATGGGATCCATTTAATTGCTGAGCGTAAAGAAATACCGATTTTTACAATAATTTTATATACATTTAATAAATTAGAATCATTCTCAATACTATCCAAATAATTATCAATCTGAGTCACTATATTAAGGTTTATTTTGTGAATGAACTCATCTATGTCACTGTCTCCACTGCTTAATTCACTGCTTATAAGTGTTGCATTTTTAAATTCAAAAAATGATATCCTTTTGCATTTCTTACATTGAGATTTATCTGTAATTCCAAAAATAATATTTGTTGTTAAACAATATCTACAACCAATATAAAATATATGGCAATTTGAACACCATTTTTGACATGATTCAAACTCTTCAGGAGATTTATTTAGTAACGACGATAAACTAGTATTACAATTGTTACACTTAAAATAATAATCCCACCATGGTAAATAAATAATTGGAATAGGTTTTTTAGTTAAAGTCGATTCTATCTTCTCAGAAGAAATTTTATAACAATCTGAACATATCAGAGCGGCAACTTCATAACCATAAGACATTTTCTTCGGCGCCTTCTGATAAACTAACTTCCCACATAATTTACAATCCTTATTATTTTCAATTATTTTTATATGCTTATCAAGTAATATAAACAAATTATACCTAGTATGTTGTACTTGATTGAAATAAAAAATATCGGAGCAAGTTTCACACCATTCTTGAATGTCTTGCGTGCAAAAATCCGCATTCCTAGCTTCATGTTTATTACAAGCATTATCATTTGTAACTATAAGTACATCCAAATACGTATTATTATCAGTTATGCAACTAATATACTTGGATAAGCAATTTTTACAATATCTTTGTAAAAATGGTGTCAAAGAGTATTTATTTCCACAATGACATTTATCGTGTTTATAAACTCGAAATGAAATAAACGTAATTGGTATAGGACTGGATTTTAATTTTGGAGTTGGATCAAAATCATCATCGTTATTTGTAAGAGTAAGTTCCATTTTGTTTATTAATTCAAATCATTTGAAATACAGAACATTTATGTTTGTTTTCAACGTTACACTGTTTCAGATATTACTATTGAATGTTCTTTTCTAGAATTCTATGGAAGATACAAATTAGTCACCTGCAGAGTATTACATAATAAGAAAGTTAAATATTTGTGTGACCTAAGATAACGATAAAGACATGGTTTTCACTTAAAATTAGTTAATATAAATAATGTTATAATTGATTAGTTAGTTCTTGATAATCAATATACGCACATTACAGCAGGATACTAAGGAAAATAATGCTTTCGGCCGAAGTAAGAAATTTTGTTAATATTCATATAAATATAAGCTATACAGATTTGTTTATGTTAGATAAGATATCATAAACTAGTTTGATCCTTGAATTACTGACTCTCAATTCTCAGTAATTAGTCAACAACCCAATTATGTGAGCATAATCAAAATTTCAAGCTATTCTTCGTTCGCTATTTCGAGTTCCTTCGCCATCCCGGGTACAAAAAAACCCCTACCTGCTAGGTCTAACGTTTTACCCATAGTCTACTGCTTGTATTATATTTGCCAAGAAAATTGATCTGTGGGTTAGTATACACCAAAAGACAGATCATCCGTATTGGTCAGAAAATTTATTATTCACCCCACACAATATATTGTTAAACAATAAAGCCCTTATATCAGGTAATTATGTTCTTGAAAATATACAGCTATGAATTTTATTACGCGCGAATGGCGCAGTAAATATTTATACTCGATTTCGTCTTGGCTTAATTTTGTATCAACGCGGAAAAGGATTTAATCCTCTGAATAATACGGTAATCGTTTCAGCACGAATAATGAACTGCGCATTAATTTCAGATCAGTTACACCGCACACAGTAAAAAATCTTGATAAACTATAAGCGTCTATTTAACATCTAGAAAACTTTATTCAATACAACAGCAATACATATTAAATTTTACTTCATAATTTTACTTCATAGAATGTGACTCACCACAGTATCAAATGCAACATAACCCATAGCCGAAATTTATTAATTACATTGTTTGCTATACCCTTATAATTGCTCATATAAAATAAAAACCTGTCTTTTCCTTTTAGATTGATTTTTTTTTCCTACTGTAATTATAAATTCAGATCATGCTTTATCACCTGAAGCCAGTGAACGTCATGCGCTTGCATGAGTAAAGCACTAGGATTTGCGCCTTGAGGCCAAGGTATCTCAGTACTCGTCGTAACAGGGTATCTATCAATACTATGTCTTCCACACCATTCAAAATCTACAAGAATTGTTCCTTTTCTGGTGACTAGAATATTCAGGTGACGAAGATCGCCAAACACAATATTTTGTTCATGCAAGGCCCTTCATGACGATTTTGCAATTGTTATGTGACATAGTGTTGATTTTTTGTGTTGTTAATGGGTCTCCATCGACATAATCCATAACAATCATCATGAATCCATTTTGAAGGTTTTTCACTGTATAACAAGTTTGGAGCGAGTTTAGCTCAGCGCATATGTTGTGTGCCGTCACACTGTATCTTCAAGCGAACTTGATGACAATTGAACGGTTGTTAGCTATCGCCTTCCAAATAGGACTTTAAATATCCTCGGTCAGTGGATGTATATATTTGAACCCGATTCGATCGTTATTCTTGTCTTGATAAGTCGAAAAATAGGGGAAATAACGCTGATCATTTGGGCCATCGTTATTTAATTGCAAATTTCGGTAATAATTGTTGAGTCTATTCATAGCATTATTCAGAGCCGCTAGGAACCGAGCAATTTGACTCACTTGACTATCATCTCCCGGTTTAGGTATGAGAGAAATGAAATCTGTTAGTGGTTCTATTATTACTTTGTCGATATAGATACCTCCGAGAAGGCAAATCTAAGGACCTGCAATGACCAACATACAGTGGTGTGCAAAAAAAATGACAATTTTTACTGCGGTAGATCGTCATTATGTAACTAGCCCAATTTTGGTC